CAGCCGCGGCGGCAGCCTGTCCGGGTCCCGCCCAAACCCCCTCTGAGGAGTCATGATGCTTTCTTTTGAGACCACTAGAAACCTATCAGCAAGAGCTGTTAAGTAAAATTATCCCGGCAAAGCAACCTAACAGCCATGTGTAGGAGCATCTCTGGGTCGAACAGCATCTCGACGAAAAGGCAGCTCTCCCCCCCCCTCCTCCTCCTCGTCCTCCTCCTCTCCTCCTCCTCCTCCTCTCCTCCTCCTTCCTCCTCCTCCTCCCTCCTCCTCATCCTCCTCCTCCTGTAGTCCTCCCCCTCCCCTCCCTCCTCCTCCTCCCTCCTCGTCCCTCCTCCTGGTCGTCCTCCTCCTCCTGCTCGTCCTCCTCCTCCTCCTGCTCGTCCTTCTTCTCCTGCTCCTCCTGCTCCTCGTCCTGCTCCTGCTCGTCCTCGTCCTCCTGGTCTTGCTCGTCCTCCTCCTCGTCGTGCTCTTGCCCCTGCTGAAAATGTGGCCCAGGAATGGGAGTTCTGGGAAGTCGAAGAGCACGAAGTTGCCTACAGTTGGCTACGGGCATTCAAAATGTGGCCCGGGAATGGAGTTCTGGGAACTCGAAGAGCACGAAGTGGCCTACAGTTGGCTCCGGGCATTCAAAATGTGGCCCGGGAATGGAGTTCTGGGAACTCGAAGAGCACGAAGTGGCCTACAGTTGGCTCCGGGCATTCAAAATGTGGCCCGGGAATGGAGTTCTGGGGACTCGAAGACCACGAAGTGGCCTACAGTTGGCTCCGGGCATTCAAAATGTGGCCCGGGAATGGAGTTCTGGGAAGTCGAAGAGCACAAGTGGCCTACAGTTGGCTCCGGGCATTCAGAATGTGGCCCGGGAATGGACTTCTGGGAGGTCGAAGAGCACGAAGTGTGTGACTGTTTGCTTAAAACGACTTCTGCGGCACCCTGTCCGGCACCCGCCCAGACCCCCCTTGTGGAGTGATCTGTGAGCTCTTTTGAGTCAACTAGAAACCTATCAGTCTTCGCTGTTAGGTAAATAACACTTGCTGCGCATGCGTGCAGAATCTGATATTTTACAATACAAAGTGCCCGGCCCCCGTTGCGAGCCGATCCATCTTTTCCAAATTATCCCGGCAAAGCAACGTAACAGCGATGTGTAGAAGCATATATAGAAGCATTCCCCTTAAGATTCAGATGAGAATCCAGTTGTAGAGTTCTGCTGCTCTCGCAGTCGCAGTCGCATTCGCGATGACAGTCGCAGTTGCAGCGGCAGTCGCAGTCACAGCCTCAGCCTGCCTCAGTATCAGCCTGCCTCAGCCTCAGCCTCAGCCTGCCTCAGCCTCAGCCTCAGCCTGCTTCAGCCTCAGCCTCAGTCTGCCTTCAGCCTCAGCCTCTGTGCCTCAGCCTGCGGGAGTGGAATTCTGGGAGGTCGAAGAGCACGAAGTGTGTGACTGTTGGCTTAAAACGACTTCTGCGGCACCCTGTCCGGCACCCGCCCAAACCCCCCTGTGGAGTCATCTGCTGCATTCTTTTGAGCCCACTAGAAACCTATCAGAACAAGCTGTTAGGTAAAAGTAGCATTTGCTGCGCATGCGTGCAGAATCTCTTTCGCCCGACCCGACCCGTCCCGTCCGTTTTGCCTGCCCGACCCGTCCCGTCCGTTAGGGTACTCGCGTGCCAACGCCCGACCCGACCCGACTCGCCCCGTCCGTTTTGCCTGCCCGACCCGTCCCGTCCGTTAGGGTACTCGCGTGCCCACACCGCCGCTATCATGGGCATCGAGCCACCTGATGGATTGGACTATGCTCTGGACCTTACGTTGGACATTGCATTGGACCATGCCTTGAATCACGCCACGAACTACGCGTTGGAAGTAGACGTGGATCCTCTCTTTGAAGAGGCGGACGCTGGCGACCCGCAGGCCTGATCCGTCCAGCGGATGAGCAGTCAGGGCTGTTTCAATGATTCCACTTGGTCTCTTTTTCCTGCCACGCAGTTCCGCTTGCGTGTGTCGCAGAGAAGGTGCTGCTTCTATGCCTCGCCTTCGTGTTCGTGGTTGTACTTTCACGAGTCATGTTACGTGTTAGGGTATTGAAGTGTCAGGGTCGCGATCTGCGCATGCTGGGACCTTCTCTGTGCGGGTATGTATTCGCGTGGCCTGGGAACTATGGAAACAAAAAAAGGGCCGCAGACTCTGTACTGAAGCGTGTCTTAACCATCCAGTTTGTTCTGAGTGTCCCGAGTGAACTTGCCACACTGTGCCTATCCAACCGCACTGTTCGTTACGCATTGGGTTGTATTTCGGGGTTTCTTCTACGACTGGATTCGGGCTACCAGCCAGGGACGCTATCCCGCCAACGCGCTATAGCATGGCATAGCACCGCATGGGTCCCCACAAAGTGGGGACCCCTATGCGCGCGCTGCCTTTTACCTCTACTTGCCCCATGCCTTTCCCGCCACCGTGCTATGGCATGGCATAGCTCGGCATGGGTTCCCCGAAAGGTGGGGGCTCCTGTGTGCGCGTTGTCTTTTACTCCTTCCTATCCCAGGCCTATCCCGCTACCGGACTATAGCATGGCATAGCACATCATGGGTCCCCAAAAGTAGGCTCCTCCCGCCGGACCCGACCCGTCCCGTCCGTTGGGCTCCGCCTGCCCGACTCTTCCCGCCCGTTAGAGCACTCGCGTGCCAACTGGATCGCACATCAGTCGTCGCCGTCGTCGTCGTCGTCGTCGTCGTCGTCGACGTTGTACTCGATGTGGTTATAACGAAGGGAGAGATGATCTTTATGGTGGGGTGGCTTGCGGGTAGGAGTGACGGCCACCGCAGGTGGGTTCGCGGTCAAGGTGTAATCGTGGCCAAGCCTGGTAGACCCTAACCCTAACCCCTAATCCCAACCCTAACCCTTAACCCTAACTCTAACCCCGACCCTAAACCCCTACCCGAACCCTTAACCCTAACCCTTACCCCGACCTTAAATTCTTAATCCTATCATTATTAAGCTCTGAATCCTGGGGTCCACCGCTTCGCGGTCACCCCCGCAAATCGCCGCGGTCACCCCCGCAAGTGGCCTGATACATCCGCACATTTCGTGCAAACGGCCATGTAAACCGGCCAAATCGCTTGAGACATCCTCACATGTTTGCCTTTTCGGCTGCCCATGGTGTACGACACCCTCTGACATGACAGCATGCGGCGCTTGTTCGGCTGCCCATGGTGTACGAAACCAAATGAAATTACAACATGCGGCGCCTCTGTGCCTTCTCCCATGAACTCCGCATGGTTTGCGGTACGTTACAGCTCCCATGCGCTCCCAGGCGCTCTCAGACGCTCCCAGGCGCTCCCAGGCGCTCCCACGCGCTCTCAGGTGCTCCCAGGCGCTCCCAAGCGCTCCTATACGCTCCCAAGCGCTGCCAAGCGCTTCCTGATGTTCCAAGCGCACCCAAGCGCTCCCAGCGCTCCCAGGCGCTCCCATTCGTTGTACTTACAACGAGGGGAGAGATGATCTTTATGGTAGGGTGGTTTGCGGGTGGGACTGGCAGCCACCGCAGGTGGGCTCCTAGGCAGGAGGGGATCAGCTGCGGCAGAGCTTGTAGACCCTAACCCTAGCCCCTAACCTTAACCCCTACCCGAACCCTAACCCCCACCTCAACCCGAACCCTAACCTCGAACACCCTCAGCCTAGCGCTAACCCCTACCCTAAACGCGAACCCTAACACCTACGCCTAAACCCCAGCCCCTAACCCTAAGCCGAATCCCTGACCCTAGCCCTAAGAACTAAGCCTAACCTCTAAACCCGATGCTAACCCCTAACCCTGACTCTACTCCCTAAACCTTACCCTAAGCTCTAATCCAAACCCCGAAACCCTAACCGCCCCCCCTTGCCTGGCCCAAGGGGGGGAGGGAGGGGGGGGGTCCGAAATCGCCCCCGCCCCGTCTCCAGCGCCAAGGCGGAGGGGGGGGGGGGGTCCGGACCCCCCACCCCTCCTTGAAGGGGGGGGTCGGAAATGTTTCCCCCCCCGTGAAGCGGGGGAGAGGGGGGGGACTGGGAGCACCCCCCTTTTTAATTACGAGGTGGTCCATTGGCGCTCTTTCGAAACATATTCAGATTGTTTTTGAGTGAGTCTGAATATGAATGAATGAGTCTAAATATGAGCGAGTCTGAATAGGTTCAGTGCATGAGTCTGAATGTGCTGTGGGTCTGAGTGAGGAAGCGGTTCTCATAAGTATGTCTGAATGTGAAGGCGTGCGTATGACTGAGTGGGTGAGTTAGTGAGTGGGTGGCTGAGTAAATGAGTGAGTGAGTGAGTGAGTGAGTGAGTGAGTGAGTGGGTGAGTCAGTGAATGAGCGAGGAGCACACAAGTTCAAAGAGAAGCTTGGGGGCAGAGGCAGGAAAACCGCCTGAGACATCCCCACGATATGCGCGCTACTCCTGGGACTGCTGAAACCAGCGCCTCGCCTGAATATCCTCACAATCTGCTCCGAAAACACAAAAAGGTTGTTGGGCACCCAAACAGGCAAACCACCTGAAGCATGCCCACAATCTGGGCTCGAATCCTGGAGTGTCCCCACCCCTGGGGCACCCAAGCCTGCGAGCCTTGGCTTCTGACAGCGCGCGGATAGTTCAACCTTGATAGATGGCGGATTACCAATTTCACAGATCGTCCGATATCGGCGGGTTCTGGGCCACTAGCGGCTTTCAACAATGAGCGCACGCGCTGAGGTCACCGCTGCGTCAGCGCGGCACGACTGCCGTATGCACCATCACCATGCCTGGCCAAAACCAACATGATGGTGATGCACGCCTGCCTTTTGCGAACCGGCTGAAGAGCGTGAGCACAGACTTCGTATACGTTTGACCAAGGCTCTTTCGCGAACGCGCCCGGGGAAACGACTCGGAGGCGGCGGGGCTGTTCAGCCCGCGCGCAGGACGGCTTAGTAAGCGTAGCTCATTCGGGCCGATGTCGTTCTTCCCCAGCCCCTTACGTCTGGCACGGGAAGACGATCGTGACGCCTGGCCGCGGGGCCCCCATACGTCACGTAACCCTGCGCCTGGCGCCGCATGGCGCCTGGGCGAGCGCGTCTTCTTCATCTTCGCGCCCTCGCGCCACCCGCTGGACAAGAAACACTCTTCGACTCAGGCCGCGAAGCGCGATTCTTTTTCTTTTCCGTCAGCGCCAGTCACTCCAAACTTCGCCAGCTCGACGCACCGCTAACGGGCCCACCTGCACACAACTTAATGTGCATCGACCAAAGTGTGCAAACAATGTCTCGGCCAAAGCGGCTCTATACACCGCGAAGCGCGATTCTTGCTTCCTTGCAGTGGACGGCAGCTGTCACGTGGAATCTCGGGCGATCGCGTTCAAAAACAGCTTAACCTTGACTTCGTCTGTTTATCGCCGAGATATCGCTTGAAATTCGTCTGGACTTCGATATGCGTGGGCCCCCCACCCGAGAGAGCGACAGCTCACAACGAAGCGCACGCAAGTGATTTGATCACAATACGAACGCAGCGGCTATCACTCAGATCGTAGGCCTGTCGCCTGATCGGGCTTGGCCAGAGCGCATGATTCGGTCGAGCGAAAGGAGAGGGGAGAACAATTATTGCCACTTATACATATCTGGACAATATCAAATGTCAATCGGGGTACCTTCGGGGCACTATTGAACAACATTCGGGACATAATGGGAACATCATCTAAACCCGATTGAGCCATCATCTAGAACACATCGAAAACCAATCGGAACACAAGTGACAATTAGCGGGGAAATCATCCAGACACGACATGAGCACGATTGAAAACCGTAGACGTCCACGGCGACCACTTCGACAACAAAAACAGGAAACCGACTGGACTAATCAATCGAAACCTCCAGAAGCCGACAGACCGAGGATGGTCCATAGGTAGCGCAACAACCGACCGAACCGACCGAATGCAGCCGACAGCGAGGCAACCGACCGGACCGAGTCGCGGATCCCCTTAAGACCAGTCGGGACACCACGGGGGCACACCACCAAACATCAACGAAGACAAGTGCGATCGGATCACCGTTGGAGGACCGCCCGGAGACCCCGCCGTACGACCACGACAGGGCGTCCGCGGAGACACCTCAGCCCTGCGGTCCGCCCGCCGCAGCAGCAGCAGTCCGCCTTGATCAATAGGCCGAGGTCCATCGACGCTCGCGGACAGCTTCATGCTGGCACGGCGTGGCTGCAGACGCGACAGCCTGGCAAGAGCTCGAAGGCAAATCTTGCCGGCGCGGCAGCGAGGATCTCTGAGCGTCGCGGCGCTGACCGCCTGGCTCCCTGGGGGGCCGAGCCTCGCTGGATTTAGGTCGGGCACATCCCCCTGCAGGCGGACTTCGTGCGACAACTGAACACTAGCAAACAGAACAAAAAACCCCAAAACGCCAGAAAATCGTCAAAACAATCGCCCGCAGACTACTTTGAGCATTCCTCATGTAGATTAGGACGCTCGAGATGGGTACGGAAAGAATGGATACAATGCCCAACAACAAATGTTGTCCCAAACCAACAGCGGCCGCTGTTGGGCAGGCTGCCTTCTGTCTTGAATGGACACAGGCCGCGGCGGCGTGGACAGCGAGTCCTGATCAAAATGAACCAGATCCGCTGTTGGGCATTGTACCCATTCTTTCCGTGCCCATTTCGCTCGTGCAGAGTATAGATAGACATGCCCTCCACACGGGATGTGGCGCCCTGCCCTGCCCCGCCCTGCCGCCCACCCGGGCACCTCTGGGCACGGGGGCGTGGGCGCCTCGGGCTGCCCCCCGGGGAAGGCCGGCCGGGCCCCGGGCCTGCAGCCCTCCCTGCTGCGAGCCCCCTGGCGGTCGCCAGTCCGCCTCGCACACCAAACCCGCGCACGCCCAACACATACACACTAACACCAAACACTCACGCACACCCACACACTGACAGACGCATTCACACACACACACCACACCAAACACACACATACACACACACAGAAACAGACACACACACACATGATCACGCACACACACCTTCCATGTCAGGCTGCGCCTGGCCGTGGCGGCGAGGGGGGGTCCGTGATGGTTCGTACCCTTGACCGTTCTGTCGAACCGGCCCCGCAGCCTGAATGTGGCCCACAGGGGGCCGCTCGGCGCCGCGGTGCTGTCGTCCTGAAGCTCTCGTCGAGCTCTGGCTGCTGGAATGGGCCTCGACCCTCCAGGGGGCGAAGAGAAAATCAAAATGATAATCAAGGGGCCCAAGGACACACAAGTAAACACACACAAATAACATGATCCCGCATATTTTCCCATATTTTCAGAGTTTCTGGTTTCTCCCCAATCCCCATATTCTCCCATATTTTCTGGGGAATCGACGATTCATTGTGTCTGTGTGTTTCATTTCCTCCCGAGGTAACGGAGGAGTCTGCTTACGGGTGGAGCCCCCGAAACGGCCAACGCAACGAGGAGAACGCTTCCAGGCTTACGGCAGCGCGGCGCACGAGGAGGAGGAGGAGGAGGAGGAGGAGGAGGAGGAGAGGAGGAGGAGAAGGAGGAGGAGGAGGAGGAGGAGGAGGAGGAGGAGGAGGAGGAGGAGGAGGAGGAGGAGGAGAGGAGGAGGAGGAAGGAGGAGGAGGAGGAGGAGGGAGGAGGACGAGGAGGAGGAGGAGGAGGAGGGAGGGAGGAGGAGAAGGAGGAGGAGGAGGGAGGAGGAGGAGGAGGAGGAGGAGGAGGAGGAGGAGGAGGAGGAGGAGGGAGGAGGAGGAGGGAGGAGGGAGGAGGAGGAGGAGGAGGAGGAGGAGGAGGAGGAGGAGGAGGAGGAGGAGGAGGAGGAGGAGGAGGACTCCCCACAGAGGGCCGCCCCGCGGCGGCCGTCCGCACCCCGGCCTCTGGCACGGCTCCCGGCCCCCGGGCCAGCCCCCTGGCCAGCACCCGCCCAGCACGAGGGCAGCAACGGGGGCTGCTGGAGGCCTGGAAAAAGGGCATCCCCACACCGACACAGGGGGTGAGTGGGGGCGATAGGGGGCGGGACAGGCACAGGGGGGGGGATAGGCATAGGGGGGGGGAGAGGTATAAATCGGGGGGACAAAAAGTGGCATAAACATAAAACTCTGAGGTCCGCGCGGATTTCTCGGATCGGCGCTGGGGCCCCCATGGCGGCGCCTCCGGCGCCGCCCCTGGCGCGCTCCGCGCGCCAGGGAGGAGGGTCCAGCGCCGATCCGAGAAATCCGCGCGGACCTCCGAGTTGTTGTTTATGCCACTTTTTGTGCCCTTAGTGAGGGGCAACGATAGGGGGGATAGGCATAGGGGGGGGATGCATCGACCTGGAATCAGCGATGCATCGCCGATGGATCGGCGACAGGTGCCCGATAGCGAAGCCGCACCTTCCTGGGCGGAATGGGGCTGTGGGGCCCCTATCGGCGATCACTGGGCGATGGGGGGTCGATGCGTCCCCCCCTTTGCCCATCCCCCTCTATCGTTGCCCCCGAGAGGGATGCCTCCACGGGGGGAAGATGATCCTAGATGTCGGCGTTGGTGGTAATCTGTCGGCCACCTAGGAGCCCGAACAGTGCCACCATCTCCGAGATTGGGAGCATCTTCCCTCGGTGGAGCAGGGACCGACCGTCCCGGCATTCCTATAGTCCTACCACGAAGCGTTCTTAGAACCCCAACATGTTCCAAGAACACAGACAATGTTCTCAGAACATAACCCCGATGTGCTAAACCAAGCCAGACTCCGCCAGAAAGGCTCTAAGAACATGTCGTGGAAACCTCGAAAGGCTCTTAGAACATTGCTTGGCAGAGCTATCGGCGCGCCAGGACGCTTCGCCGCTGCCTGACGCGGTGGAGGCACGCCGCCGACCTCGGTGCTATAGGCCTCCGAAATCTGGGCCTGAGCGCCTCGGCCGGCGAACCGCACGGGGGGGAATGCGGCTGGCAGGCCCTCTGTCTCTCTCTCCCTTGCCGGGAAGCTCCGAAGGAGGAGGAGGAGGAGGAGGAGGAGGAGGAGGAGGAGGAGGAGGAGGAGGAGGAAGAGGGGGATTGCGGCTGGTAGGCCCTCTGTCTCTCTCTCTCTCTCTCTCTCCCCTGCCGGGAAGCTCCAAGTGCTGCCGAAGCGGGACCTGGGCGCTCAGCAGGCGGACCCCGCGAGCGCGCAAGAGGCACTGGCCGCGTCGACCGAGGAGCGCCCGATGGGACCCCGACGCCGAAGCGGGGACACGCCCCGCGCCGACGTCGACGCCGCGCCGACGTCGCCGGGCGCCGCGCCGGCCGCCGCCGATCGTCGTCGACCAGCCGACGCCGACACGCTGCGCCGACGCCGACGCCGCGCCGACGTCGACCCGCACCGCGCCGTCCGACGCCGATCCTCGTCGACCGGCCGACGCCGACACGCTGCGCCGACGCCGACGCCGACGCCGACGCCGCGCCGACGCCGACGCCGCACCGCGCCGCGCCGCCGCCGATCGCCGCCGCGCGGCCGAGATGCCCGAGGCGGTGGCACGCACTGCCCCGCCGGCGGCTCCTCCGCCGCGCGGGCCGCGCAGCCGCGCGGCGCCGCCGCCGCGGGCGCCCCCCCCTCGCCGCCCCCCCGCGCGCGGGGCGCCGCCGCCCCGCCGCCGCCGTGGCACCGGAAGCACACGTTGCGGTCGCACTGCGGGCACCGCCAGCGGTGGGTGGTACCCCCGAGGTGGCCCTCCCACGAGGCGGCGAGGCACGCGTCGCACTCGTAGTGGCTCCTGCGCCCGGACGTGAGCTCCGAGTGCCTCGGGGGGCGTCTGATTGCGGGAGGCTGTGTCCACCGGCCCCGTGCGGGGGCCACCGGACCGCCACGCACGGGTTCTCTTGTCCCCTGGGCTCCTCTCATTCCGACCTCTGTGCAGGCTCGGCGCCATGGAACCCTGACATACTCAGGTTGCCACGCCTGCTAATGGTAGCCGTGCTCCACCTAGTGTCGATGTCTCGTCGGATCCGCCGTAGATGCGGAGGGGCTCTCGCGGGCCGCCACCCCCTGCCCCAACTGCTGCGGGTCCGCTCTCCCAGGGGGGGACGCGCGTGAAGCAAACATCTGAAGGGGCCCTGGGACACACAAATAAATACACACACATAAAAATATTCCCCATGTTTTCCTATATTTTCTGTGTTTTTGTCTTCCCCCCCACTTCCCATATTCTCCCATATTTTCCGGGGGATCGGCGATTAATTGTGTCTGTGCGTGTTTTCCCCTCCTGAACATCGAATGCTCGCTCACTGAGCGACGGTACATCGTTTGAGCTACGAGTCCTCGTTCCCACGGCCGCGGTCCACACTGCCCATCGCCACATATGTCGTCCCCGAGCCAAGACATGGTAATACGGTAGGGGCCCGACAGCAAGAAACCTTCCACAAGAAACCCAGCCCAGCGACCTCAGGACGTCCATTGACGTTTGGTGCGGGAACCTCACGCTTCCCATAGCAAAGCCATCGAAGCCCAAGACACCCAGGGCACCCCGGAGGCGAGCAGGGTGCTTCTTGGCATGGGTCTCCGCTGTATGTTGGCTGCTCCCCCCGACGGCGGTGCGCATCCTGGTCTTCGCTCGCGCCCGCGCCCGCTCCCGCACGCGCGCACCGGTCGCCACTCCATGCGCGCCCACTCGCTTGCTCCCCGCGCGCACCCGCGCGCCGACGGGCCGAGAGGCCCGTTGCCGGACCTGCCGTCGGGTGTCGAAACTGGCGAGCCCACGCTCGCGCCCGCGCGCCCCGTTGTTCCCTCGGGACGGGCAACCATTGTCCGCCGCCGGGCCCTGGGGCACAAGGTGGAGTGTCCTCGGGTCCCTTGGAAACCTCCGTCTTCAATTCTGTGAGGATTTCTTCTGGGGCCCACAACACGAAGGTCCCAGCGCTCCTGGGCGCTCCAAGGCACTCCCGGGTCACATGGCACAATTTCTTCGGAGCCGGGAGGGGCCAAGACGGGCCAAGAGGGCCCAAAGAGGCCTCCCGAGACGGTCCAAGAGGGCCACGAGTCGCCGAACGATCGGTCCAAGACGCCCAATGTAGCCTCCAGACAGCCCAAAAGACTCCCAACACGCCTCAAGAATGCTCCAAGATGCCCCAAAAGAGGGCCCCGAGAGGCCAAAGTGATGCATGTTCCATATGTCGTTGAAAAAATGAGCGTTCTCTGTTCGGCCTCTCGACGGGTCGAGACGGCCCAGAAGCCCCCAATATCGCCTCCAAACGGCCCAAGAAGGCCTCAAGACGGCCCAAGACGACCCCCAGACGGCCCAAGGCGCCTCCAAGACGGCCCAAGCGGGGTCCAAGACAGGCCCCGAAGGAGGGAGCAAAAACCTATGTTTCAAGCCCTCCGCCCCAAGACAACCTCCGAGACCGCCAGCAGGCCCCAACGACGGTACCCAGGAGCTCCAGGAGGCTCCTGGGCGGCCCAGCTCAGGCCCCGAAAGGCCCACAAGAGGCCCCCGAGACGCCCCAGAGACACCCCAAAACCGCCTCCAAGAGGCTTCCCAAGAGATCCTTACAGGTATGCACGCGGCCTCCGCACCACAACCAAGGCACCGTTGCGGGATAAGCCGAATGCTACTAGACCTGCTGGGCACGGGGACAGAAAGCGCAACTTGCCCTGTGATGGCGCGAGATCGCTGGCTTGTCCGTTGCTCCTCCTCTTACGCCTCTCTTCCACTCGGCCTTGTCGCATCCTTGGGGGGTCGTGGGGACCTCTTGGGCCGTCTTGGGAGACTCTCGGGCTGCCTTCAGGCCCTCTTGAGTCGTCTTGAGATCCTTCGAGAAGGATTTCAAGACGATGTTCGAAACGTCATCTCAAGTTTGCGTCGTTGGAACTAAATCATGTGTTAAAAACCTTTCCCCAACAGAATCGCCATGTTCGGAAATCTCGAGCATGCTCTTGGACCGTTTGGACCGTCCGTTGCCCGAATGTCGTGCTCTCCCCGTTTGGACTGCCCGCTTTCTAGAACCGCTTGCTTTCCCTGCTTGGGCTACCCGCTGTCCGAATGTCGCGTTTTCCCCATTTGGACCGTCCATCTCTGCCCGGAGCTGTCAAAGAGAATGCGCAGAAATCATGTGGTTTCACCGCTTGGGCCGCCCGCTCTTCAGAACCATGCGTTTTCCCAATTTGGACCGCCCGCTGTCCGAATGGATTGTTTCCCCCGTTTGGACCACCGGCTTTCCAGAACCATACGTTTTCCCGGTTTGGACCTGGGCGACTCTCGGGCCGCCTTCGGGCCCTCTTGAGCCGTCTTGAGGCCGTCTTGGGAGCCTCTTGGGCCGTCTTTGATGAATATCTGCGGCATCTTTAGCCCTCTTGGCCAGCCGAACACTTGAACATGGAGGACGCTCAACATTGAGGGATGAAAAAACGGCCCTACCCTGGATTACAAGTGCGTGGTCTGTAAACCTCCTAGGAACCCCCAAAGCCTAGAGCCGCCAGGACGCGGCACATCACGCAGGGTTTACCCTGTCAGCCCACAGGAGTTTCAGCGCACAGCGCCTCGTCAACCAGGGTAGGGGCGTTTTTTTATGCCCTCGACAACATCCTCAAGGGGATGGCTGAATTGTGCCCCTTGAGGCCCTCCTGGGGATCCTCTTGGAGCCCTCTTGGGACTTCTTGGAGCCTCCTGGGTCACTTGGCGGGCATATTGGGCCATACTGGGACCCTCCTGGTCCGTCTTCTCGGCCTCTGTTGGGCCGTTTTGAGGCCTTCGAGGAGTGACACCAAGACGATGCCGACAACATGCTACAGTCGGGGCGTTGACCTAAGGAACCCTAAATAAGGAACGAGGCCCCTTTTTTCCATAAATTAAACTTCGATTTCCGATCGAGGAAAACCTGAGGCAAGCTGCGAAACACTTACGGAACGCGGAGCCCCTCCCCAACGAAAAGGGTTCCTTCTTCAGGGCCCCGACTGTAGTTGTTGAGGATGTCCCTGGCGCAATCTGAACTTTGGGCAAGACCGATACCAAGACGAGGTTAGGATAGGCTGGGTCGTCAGGAAACCTTCCTGAAGCGATCCCAAGACGTCTCAACTGATTGGGGGTGTCCCAAACGATTTCTTCGCCATGCTGGCTACTAGACCTGCTTGGTACCGAAACGGAAAGCGCAGCTTGCTTTGTGACGGCGCGAGGTCGCTGGCTTGTCCGTCTCTACTCTTCGTACGTCCTCTCTTTCCCTCACCCTTGTCGCATCGTGAGGGGGTATTGGGGCCCTCTTGGGCCGTCTTGGGAGACTCTCGGGCTGTCTTCGGGCCTGCTTGAGCCGTCTTGACCCGAATGTCCACTTCACACCGCATAACCATGTTTACCCGCCTGGCCGCCTTAACCCGCCTGACCCCTTTAATCCGCCTGGCCGTGTAAACCCGCCTGGTCGTTTTTAATCCGCCTGGCAATGATTGTATCCCGCGTGGCCGCTTTTACCCGCCTGGAAGTTCAACCCACCCTCTTGGCCGTTTGAGCCCGCCATGCTGTGTTCAATCCGCCAAGCCTTTTCAACCCACCTAGGCGTTTGAACCCGCCTGGCCGTTTTGACCCAGATGTCCGCTTCAAACCGCGTGGCCACTTAGACCGAGTGATTATTGTCATCGGCATGGCCGTTTGAACCCGCCTGGCCGCGCTGACCGCCTGGCTGTTTTCAACCGCCTGGCCGTTTTAACCCACCTGGCCATTTTAACCCGCCTGGCCGTTTGACATCGATTGGCTGTTCAACACGCCTTACAGTTCGATCACGCCTGGTGGTCTTAATCCGAGACCGAAACGAAAATGATGTCGACAAGATCTCATATGTGTGAGGACGTCACAAGGGAAGACGCCATTTGGGGCAAGAGCGATGTCGATCACTTCTCATTTGTGTGAGGATGTCCCTAGCGAAGTCGCCCTTTGTGGCGAGACTGAAATCAAGACGACGTCGACAGCATCTAATTTGTGAGAGGATGTCACTAGCGACGTCGCCATCTGGGGCAAGAGCGATGTCGAGATCATACCACTGTTGTGAGGATGTCCCTGGCGAAATAGATTTTTGTTTGGCAAAAGTTGGGCGTCGTAGACCAATAGTGTTGGGCTATGTTGGGCCGTCCTGAGGCCGTCCGAGAGCGACCCCAAGACATCTCACTTGTTTGGGGATGTTCCAAGCAACACCTCCATTTTAGGCTATTAGATCCCTGGAACTACACGTGCAGACTCGTTCAACTTCCCTCTGATTGCATGTCGCCTGGCTGGCCGATCGAACGCAACGCACGCTTCCCGCCATCACTGGGGCTACACATGCCAACCCCTCAAACTCCTCATTTCGCGTCTCCCGGCGAACGGATCGCACGCTATGCACGCTGACCGTGACCCCTGGGGCTACACATGCCACCCCCTTCAAACTCCCACCAGTTTCAAAGTCTGGCCCAACGTTTGGCCGAATGGGTGTTTCCAAAGGCGGGGGGGGGGGGGGCGATTCGCTTTGGGCATCTTCGATCCGCCGCCCCCTGTGCTTGCCACAGGGGTGCACAGCGTGCTGGGCGTGCGGTTGGTGTTGTATTACTCTGCAAACGAATCTGCTGGGCGAAAAGCCCAACCATATGCAGCTGTGAATACCGCAGACGTGAGTACCGTATTCGGTGGAGGTCCTTATGGGGGCACGAAGCGTGTGAGGTGTGTGTGTGTGTGTGCCAAAATGGGATGGCGGCGATACGCGGGCGCTGCCGTGCCTTCGGTGGAGCTCCCTCTGGGGCATTGGGTGGAGCTCCCCATGGGGGCCACGAAACGTGTGCACGGTATGC